GTGAATGCACACATTTCAACTTATCACCCAAAGTCAGATGGTTTGTGAAGTTTGTTATTTGAGCTATTGGGTGATATTTTGTGATACAATGTATCCATTTCTTTTCATTATTTCCACTTGATTATCAACAACTAGGACAGTTATTTCGTCCAGAAACATGATGAGTGAAAATATGTTGTGGCCCTTGTTTTTTGAGCTATTGAGTGATTTAGTCCATCAAAATGCATGGAAGGTATTTTGTAATAACCACTCCAATATCCAAGCTAGGATAGTCAGCTGGTCATGAAACCAATAACTGGAAGGGACTAACAACCCTTGTTTTCTAAAATAGCAAGTGGTTTTCCATGGCAAAATGGTAATCTAAGATTTCGTTAAAATCACTCACCCTTATTCAAGTAGTGGTAGTTCTCCAGAACAGGCTACATGGAGCTCAAGAGAAGCTCTCACATGTATACTTAACTCTGTGTGTGACTCTTCCATGCGCAGTGATGGAGTTGTGATATTTGTCAGGCAGAAAGTGTATTTAGTGACTATAGATTTTAATGAAATAGGTCTTATTTTATTGAGGTTACCTATATTTACATTTCTGTGAGGCTAATTGATGCAGTGCAATGTCCCGATGATCCATTGTTGGTTACCGTATTTAACTGAGGTTGGTTTAAATGTACATTGATATATAAAGTAGCAACAAGACAAATGGTAATTCTGATGATAAGAAACTTTAGCTGAAATGTCTATGTTCAAATGAATTCTGCCAATAATTATTTATTTTATGATGCCTCTAAAACAACGGTGGGCAAAATACTGCCTGTGGGCCAGATCTGACACATCTAACATTTCTGTCTTGCCTGCCATCACTTCTGACAATTGTAGAAAGGACATAATGGGATCTTTATACAATCAATGTTCAGGTAACTTAATTAATATAGTAGAAAAGTACAACCTGTGATGACTTACCAAAATTCGTAAAGTGGTCCCCCAAAAAAATTATTGTCCACCCCTGTTATAACACAATGTTGCTTTGAATAATTTGCTGTGGGAGGTCCTATAGGTAAACAGCTCCTTTTAACTTATTAATTGTGTGCATTTGTTAAATGATTATTTATCTATTTCTTGTACAGTTTTTGTTTTTTTGTAGTTAATCTACACAATGGGCTAGCTGTGTTCTGTCTAAGTAAGTCTTCAGACATACTACAGTGCCACTGGGGGGCTTCTTGTACAATTAATTTATGTTTAGGTGGTTATTTATTAATTTCTTAGTACAGTAAAGTTATGTAGTCTATGTATATAGGT